TCACTTCTCTTTTCTCATAAATACGAAAGAAATTTTGGCTATTTTGTGTGTTTTTTAATACAATGATATACATTAAAGGTAGGGTATTTGGGTTGTAAATTATACAACAATTCTGCCATAATAATTTAGATTCGCTGTACACAAAACTCGAATCTAAACACCCCCCCCCGGCGGCCTCCCCAAAGACACTTACCGTTGAATATCATTAGATCAATAATAGTGAATGACAACGATATTCTATTTAGACTACTCTAATTTACATAAAGAAATATTCAAATTCAAGTACAAAAACTTAACCTAATGCCTTAACCAACTGACTTAAACCGCATCTCACATGTTTAATTTACGTACAATTAATTGCTCATTTCATCTTTGTCTAAACAGGGTCGGCCTAAACTCAAAAGAAGAGAACCCATAAAATCATTTCTGGATTATAAAAGCCCAATCCTAGGAAGCCCTTATTAATTAGGGTAAATACTTTGGGGGGTTGTTTGTTCTGTCGTAAGCATGACTTGTTTGTTTCCACCGGAAAAACGTGATTGTTTCTTCTGTTTTATTTTTTTTATTTTTTTAACTTTTTAGAGAGGCATGACATAATTACACTTTAATTATTGTTATCTTAGATTCTCCTGACTTGTTTATTGAGAGTTTTAACAAAACACTTCCGGTACTGTTTACTTTTAACGAAAAATCACGTTTATACATTTCCCTGTTACTATTTACGATACCTTTAAAAATGACTTTTCATTAAAAGGGAAGTATTTTTTGAACTTTTTGTTAGTTTTTCTTTATTTATTTTCATTGGAAAAACGTGTTTGTTTCTTCTGTTTTATTTATTTATTTGTATTTGTATTTTTTTACTTTTTAGAGCATAAGTACACTTTAATTATTGTTATCCTTAGATTCTTGCTTATTGGATTTTGGCAATAATTATGGGTTTATTGAGTGTTTTGTACTTTTGCTAAACAAGACAAAGCAAATTACATCGACATTGATTATGCTAATTTAGTTTATGAATCGGGATTTATGATGCAACGTATTTCAATTTACTTTTACAAAAACTAAGACTTCTTTGAGCATTTTGCAATTACGCTATTTTTTGTTTTTGTTTGCTGTAACATTGATATAATGAGAACCAAATATACATTTTCGTTACATGCAAGTTTTACTGCTTTAGCAGTGAGTTGGAGGGAAATAAGTACTTATGAAGTTATTCAATCGCAATTGTGCTTATACTATATATTGATATAGTCACAGGAGAGATAAGGGGCTTTGATCCTTTGTGAGATCACAAATCTGCTTTTGAGCAAAGCTAATTCTGAAAATGACATGCTTTCTGCTTTTCCCCCTTGACTTTTGCTCCTGGATGACATCGCAGCAACTAACACGCCATCCACAACACCTATTAGCCACACATGTACAAGTACTCCTAATACCACTATCCTAATTCAAATGTCATCATTGGAAAAAAAAAAATAAAAATAAAATAGCATTAGTATCGTTTGAGCAGATTTGTCACTTCTCCTAGTGTTATAGGTAAACATTCCTTTACTATTCATAAATTAACGAGAGATTTTGGATACGGTTCCTAGTGTTGAGAGTTGTCCCATATCGATGAGGGACAAGATTTGTTATATGCTTATATAATCTTGGGCTACTCCTCATATTACCAATTAGTTTTATGGTGAAACCTCAATTTCATTATGGTATCAGAGCGGGTTGTCCTCGTGTGAAGCCAAACGGCCACAAGCGCTCCACGTCACCCAGTTGTTGTCCACGTGTAGGCTTGAAAATCTGCCATACGTGCGGGGGCGTGTTGAGAGTTGTCCCACATCGGTGAGGGACAAGGTTTGCTATGTGCTTATATGGTCTTGGGCTACTCCCCATATTACCAATTGGTTTTATGGTGGAACCTCAATTTAATCACCTAGTTATCAATATTCTTTGACTGAAACCTTGTTGATTTTCAATTTTTGATCAAAGTCCCTGAGATTAATGTGATACTTTATTTCTATGTATGATACTATATTTTTTAAATAAAAAATAAAAATAAAAATTTATAGTTGTTTATATTAATGAGATTTTAAATAAAAATCCATAATTTGTGGGATAAAATTATTAGAATATAAATTATACTATTGTGTGTATGTATATATAAACATGGGTACATTCATCAAAATTAACAAAAAAATTATTGTACCAAAACATGGGTACATTCTTCATAACCACACAAAACAAGTAATAGATATTAGGCTTAATAGCATTAGTAAATTTCTTCGATTAAACTTGATATGGATACATTCTCAAATCAAAAGAAAAGAATGTACCTATATAAGTTTAAAAACGGCTAGAAAAAAAAATTGAATAGATTTTATATATAAAAAAAGGTACATTTTACATATAATAAATTGGTATATTTAAGAATGGGTACATTTTAAGATTAAAAATTGGAAAAAAAAATTACATGAGTGGGTGCATATACACTTAAAAAATTGAAAACATTTTTTAAAAAGCTAATGGGTACAAACTTATTCTAATTTTTTATTTATTTTGGAAATGTTTTGAATTGAAAATTAGTTAGGAGTTTAATAAAGGTGTGAATATTAAAATCCTAAATCAATTATTAATTTTTATTTTAAAAAATTATGTAACTGACATGTAAATTCATTATTACATTAATGTCAGAGACTTGGATCAAAATTTGAAAACTATATGAACATTAGTAACTAGAGACTGGATACTAATTTTTCCTAAATTAACCAATCCAATAAAAGGACATGTGAACTAAATGCTCAATAACGATTTTACCCTTGACATCGTGTGTAAATCACAAAATTACTCTAAGAAAATAAGATGTAATCAGCCCTAAAGTAATTGGGCTTTTACTAATGAACCATGGGCTATCCGGCTGCCTATAATACGTCACGCCATTGAGCCATATCCAGTCCAATGATGGCAGGGCCCCAACTCTCGAGAGTCTCCCCTTGGAAGTCTGGTGAACCAACACTTTTACCGACATGGATCTTAAGACTACTAGTAGGTAGGATTGCAAGGACTAGCCTACACCATTAATGACTGTCTAGTATGCTCTGCAACCTTCCCTTAGAGTTGCCTGCTAGGGTTTCTTCCCCATAAATAGCCAAGTCAATAAGAGAAAACGGTAATTGCTCCTTACTATTCACAACACTCTCAAGTATGTTCTATTTTTCTCTCTACTACTTTTCTGACTTAGGCATCGGATAGCCTTTGGCGAGCACTCTCCTCCCTTTTTAGGGTATTCGTCAATTAGGCTAACGGCATGTGTTCTCTTATAGGTGGAGTTTTTGTTAAATCAACTGTATAAGAAATTTGCATTCACAATTATATTACTTCTCGCTTTGTGTCACACAATGCTTAAAAATGTGCTCCAAAATCAACTTAGATTTTGTGTAGTTCTGTTGACTTTAATTTCATTAGAGTTGATTAAAAAAAAAAAAAAAACTTCCTATTATTTGAGTTTGAATCCTTAGGTGCATCTTTACTACTAATCCTTAGTTAATGGCAACACAATTTAATGTATTTTGATTAATCAGTATCCTAATCAAGAATCCAACAATCTAAGGACATCAATCACATTCTTAATAAAATGTGAATTCATACAGAAGAATTTCCTCGGAAAAGTTTTGGGTGCAATCAGTGATATATCACTATTCTCCATTTTTCTCATATTAATCATATAATGAAAGAGAGAGAAAAAGACATATCCAATTAGTTGCACGACAGAAACCCCCTTATTACATCTGCGGTCAATTGGAGGCAGGTTTTTTTAAGTCTTTCAAGCCAGCTGGTATCATCCTCTTAGTGCCAACCCTTCAAACTTCCAACACTTTTATAGCACTAATTGAATATGTGTTTCTCATGCTTTGAACCTTTAGATTTGCAAGGACATAATCCGCATTTGCCTTGAGATGGGATGATTTTTAGGGATAGTGGCATAGAGATAAATGACTTTTTTGGAGGGAACTTAACTTTGATTGACAAACTAAAGTCCAAAGAAAGGGTCAGCAGTACTTCTGAAAAGGTTTTATTCTCCATCACAGGTTGGCATCCTATGCTTTCATAATTCCAATCTGATGTTCTCATGTGCACCAAATTTCACCATGTGGCTTTGAAATTTGGTAGAAAATATCCAACTTCCTCTCATGCTTTCTGCCAATTGTCCCCATTGATTGTCACGGTACACAGTACTACCACAGCATACAGTGAAGATAAGATAAAAGTCGTTGTCAAATTGTTTGTTCTGGTGTTCCCAATTACAGAGGTGATAGTATAGAAGCTGGTTTGCTTTTATTACTATTAAGATCAAAGATGAATGCTAAAATCAATCGCTTAAGTGTTCCACGTTGATATTGGTCCTTTCAGTTTTTGCTTTGATTATTATTTAAGAAAAATGATAAGATTAGTTGCGAACGCATATAAAAATAATCATGGTCAATCATATTTTACTTTTACTATTATTTAAGAGAAATGCTAGAATCAATCATAAACGCGTTCAACTGAACTATGCTTTACTTTTAATGCTATCCAAGAGGAATAGTAAGAACGGTTGCAAACGTGTATAAAACTGATTTTATTCGATCATTATTTGTGAGTTTAATTAACATGAATGACCAGAATTAGTTGACAACGCACACTGTAGAATTGATATGACATTTCTTACTTTGTGAGTTCAATTAGCATGACTGATATTTATAGCAAACTCACATGAAATTGATATAGTCATTCATATTTTGTGAGTTCAATAAACATGAACGATTCAAATCAACTCACAAGTGCACTCGCAACTGATCCTCTAACATTTTCTTATGCCCAATAGTAATTCTAATAAAAAAACAAAAGAGTAGTTGCACTGAGGGCACCCCATCAATTACCATATGTTGGGTATTTCCCATCAATGAGCAGAGCAATAATATAATATGAGAGCAGACCAAACAAAGCAATCCTCTATTAAAAGATGGATGTGACTTATAAGTGCTTTTGGCTTTCCTTTTTCCTAGGACTTCTCTTCCTCTCTTCTCCTTCTCCTCCATTGACCCTTCCCCTTCACTCCCTGAACTCTTACAGCAATGGGGCTGGGATCTGATGAGGCAGAGCCACCACAACTGCCCTTATTTTCTGCCCCACCATTTCACTCCCATGAGCCTTCAGGCACCCTAACTCCACCACTCCACACCTCAGTCTCAGTCCCATTCCGCTGGGAAGAGCAGCCCGGGAAGCCAAGGCCCTGCACTGCCCTGGCCACCGTTCCAAACCCAACAGACTTTTCCCGAAAGTGCTTAGAGCTCCCTCCAAGGCTGCTTTTGGAAGCCAAACTGCTTTCTCCCACCACAGTGTTGGAGGATCCTTACGTGGGCAGGTCAAAGTTTCAGTCTTCCTCATTCAGGATGGAGTGTTATGGCGGTTTCAGCCCTGAGAGAGGAGGGGAGCTTGGTGCTCTGGTTCTGAGAAGGAAAGGGAAGGAGAGAGGGTGGTTTGACTCATGGGGGAGGAGGGTGTTGAAGGGAAAAAGAGAGGTTGGTGGGGCTGGTTATGTCTTTCCATCTTCTGTGGATGGAGAGAGTGACGGTGGTGGCAGTGTGGGAGGAGAGAGTGGGAAGTTGAAGACGAAGAAGAAGATGACAGGGATTACAACGGTTGGGAGCATTTCTAGTCTCTCTCATGCCAAGCCTCATTTCTGGGTAAATATTTCTTTCCTTTATTTGGGTTCTACTTTTAGTTCGCTTTTATATTTTGGTACATTTATATTTTATATCGCAATTCAAATTTGAATGGATTAAGAGCATTCATCCCTGCACTCGAGATCCTGAGTTCCGCTTCCCCTTCCCGAGTATCGCATGTATGAGTTTGATGGAGAAAGTACGAACTCTAGTTGGTTTTAATCCAAAGCCTTGTGAGGGTGTGAGGAGTTGCCCTTTTCAGAAGGCATACTGATCTAGCGCTTTCCTAGAGAAAGAGCCAAATTTTCTCGTATACACCGGGATATGTAGTCGTTGGATCTTGATTGTTGAAGTTTTGGCCGCATATCCGGCCCTCTGTTCATCCGGTGTAGGCGTGTAGGCCATACATCGAACATAGTAGAATTTTCAGAGATGGCCAAAACCTCCCATGTGTGCCCAACTAAGCAGGTCTCTAAGTACAACAACATAGATTGGCTTGTGTAGGGTAGGCAGAGGAATGGAATCAGAATGTGAGAACATGCTACGTTCCTGGTTTGGCCAAGGCCACGAGTGTATGTACTTAGAATAACTCATTACGGCCGGACAGAGATCCACTTTGGATCTCACTGTCCGAAACTCAAGGATCAGGCAATCCGGATCACTCAAATTGAATCTGATGGTCCTCACTAACTCATTTCACTGGCACACCTCATACAATCCAAGGGCTTTGATTGCTCTTTCTTACAAACCAAGGGCTCAGATTTTCTGCTCCTTAGGCTCCAGGCACTAAAGTTTGGGGAGGATCCAAATTCGTTACCCATTTCAAAATGCTTTTGTAAGAAGCAATTATGATCATAAGCGTTTTAGCTAAAAGCATTTGGAATTGCTTTCTTCCAAATTCTTATATAATGATATCTTTGCAACAACATTTTTAATTATTTCGGCCATGTGTGCATGCATTCTAAAAGCAGTTCCAAACAGACCTAAATTTTCGTTTAGAAATGTTGAAGTTACTTGTATTTGAAGTAAAAATTCCTTTGATGTTTGCAGGCAACATTAAACAGAGCTTGAAGCAGGCGGCAGTTCCATGGAAGGGTAGAAAATTCAAGAAAGACGGGTTTGCGATATGATGATTTAGACTTGTCTGTGTGCACCGGTATAGTGTATCCAAATCAATTACCTGTCAAATGCTCTAGCTAAAGACTTAACAACCACGGCGTTGCCCGCCGGGGCTGAAAACTGGGATGGTCATGAATTGTGGGGGACTTTGTTACGGGTTAGGGTTTAGGGTTTAGGGTTTAGGGTTAGTCCCCCCTAAGGACATGTAAAATGAAAAAAGACTAGTTGTGTGTGTAAAATTTAGCCCTTATTTTACTGTTTTGCATGCACCTCCGGTAGCTTCGACAACGGTAAAGTTGTCTTGTTGGCGAGGTTTCCGTAAATGCTGTTTTCGTAACTGTGTTTTGGTTTAAGTAATGTTTTGATCTCTGTTTCCAACTTGAACAATTGGTTTATGTGCTTTATATCCTGTCAACAATCTTAGTACATTAAGGCCCTGTTTGGCACACCGTATAACGGATCGGATAGTACTAATAATACGGTGTACGGTGTTTGGTGACAGTTCGGATTAAATAAGCACCGGATTAAATAATCCGGGCCCATCTTTTTTACACGGTGTGTACCTGCTTGCTTATACCATCCATTTTCACGGTATAATTAGTCGGGCTCTCTTGTCTCCCGACGCAATCTTCCACTTTCTCTCCCGACGCAATCTTCCGTTTTACCCTCCTTCCATTTCTTTTCATTTTTCCATTTTCCACCAGATCTGACAAAAATCTTCGAACCAAAAATTTAGCAAAATCCCACAGCTCCCTTTTTTGAAAGACCATCATCCTATTTCCCTCAACTTCCCCATTCTTTCCCCAAAATTTCGATTCCCCCCACCACCACCACCGCAACCTCTTAACGCAGCGTTTCATTCTCTTCCTCTCCAGACGCCATCTTGCTCTCATCCCAGGTATGTCTTCTCACAGTCTTCTTCTTCGTTTGAATCACATTTTCGTCTTTTCAATTTTCTTCTTCTGGGATTCCGCCCCTCCCTCTATTCTTCCCCCTCCTATTTTTCTTGCAATTGATTGAATCTATTTATTATTTTCTCTCAATTATGCAATTGATTATGTAAATTTGTGTTTTACATCACTCTATCCATTTTTTTAATTTTATGTGAATTTTACTTTTTATCTGGATATATATATGTGTGAATAATTTCGGACTAGGGTTGTTGAATTGTTGATTGGCATTGAATTGTTGAATTTCGGACTAGGGTTGTTGAATTGTTGATTGGAATTTTTATCTGGATATAGATATGTGTGAATATATACGTGACAACCACAGAGGCCAAATTAGAATGGGAAAAAAAATAATATCAAATTAACAAAACACAAGGCAGGAAACTTAACTCAAAATTAGTACCAAAGTTGCTTGTATCTTTATACGAATCAATAAAGCATTATATTAGAGTCTAAAAGCTAAGAAAGATTTGTTAATTTTTTTTCTCTTGTCCTATCCGGTTCAATACCAAACACAGTATAAATAATACGGTTATTAATCCGATACTGCACCAAACGCCCGACTAATTTAGTCAGTACTATCCGGTGGCTATTTATCCTATCCGACAGAAATAGTCAGTACAGTCCGAGCTGCCAAACGAGGCCTAACACCGAAATGAGACGGAAATGACCAAAATTGTTAACAGATAAAAACTCAGGAGACCAAATTGGCCAAATTTAAACACGAGAAAAACATGGGGATCAGAGAGGCATCAAACTGTGAATTTATGTTTTATATCCGGACAAATGAAAAGTTTATACAAGACAACTGAAAGAAAATTGAATTCATGTGTAGCAAGCATGAAGAATAAAATGGAAGCAGGCACTTATATTTGGCATGCATTCATTAAGCTTTAAATTGGGCTTCAAATCAACAAGAACAGCAGCAGCTTCGGCTAGTCAAAGTTAACGTGACAAGGAAACCGGTCACATGCTTACAACGAAAAGGATAATATTCAACATGCAGCATCACTGTGTTCTCCACACAAGATTGTCAGGCTTATTTCAATGCTCATGAAAAATGGCAAAAATAAAAAAAGGGCCATCGTTCGCCTGTACCAATGAATCATATCGCCCCTATTTTTTACCTGTCATACCTGCAACCACCTGTGAAAAATACCCAGGTAATTCAGAAATATGAGTGATAGTAAGGAAACAAGATAAAAGATCTTGTTAGCGTGTTGTGAGGGCGCACAATTTCTGGCCAAAAGAACAAGCGGGCATGAAATCTATATTGAAACAAACTTAGGTCCTGTTTGCTCTCCAGATGGATATAGAGTTTTATTTAAGAATAGATCAAGATGAACTATAATTGAGCAGATCAATGGACAAAATCAAATCATGACAGAGCAAGTTGAGAGGATCCAATTTTTCTATCCTTTTCAAGTTACATGGTCATGGCTGTGTAAGAGCACATAGCCAAACCACTTTAGATCTATTGGGAGAGGGCGAAAGTTTTGGAGGTTCATAAGAATTCCATGCAGACCACCAATCTAACGATGACGATGAAGAACACCATGGACTCTACCCACCTAATTAGGTAGTGATAATATATGAGTTGAGCAGTCACTATATCCAAGTTAGATTAAGTTCAATTCCAAAAAGGCATGAATCAACCATGAACATTTTCTTTATGAACAACATAACAAATCCAAGTGCTCTATGTAAAGTGCATAATTAGGCAAAGAATGAATGAAAATTTTAACTAACGTGTCATGTAACACTCACATCGCTTAAAGCAGGCTGAGGGACTTGCTTAGAAGCTTCAAAGGAATCAAGAATTGGCCTTACTACAGCTGGAAGAAAGAGACCTGAAATTCAATCATAATAGCCAGTCAGTTGAATATAGCCATAAGTCCTACAGGAGTGCCCTTGAAACCTTAACAGATACTACTTAGATTCTTCTTAAAATGCTTGATCCATTAACTTGAAAACATTAGGAACCAAATTTGACCTCAGTCTCAACGAGCAAAATTGATCATAGTTTCTCGCGAGTAAAATGGATCACTTAACATATTACAAGTTCTATAGGAGGAATAACTTCGCAATCGAAAAATGCAATTCTAATCCATTAAGAAATATTTCTTTCGCTGAGAATGTAAAACTATGAAATATATTGAAGTATGTTCAATACGATTATCAATATGAGTATCCCAACGCAGAGCCCACATTGCTGTTTTCCGGCAATGGCTGTTCCAGCCTTGGAAGCATATTGTTGTTCTACCAGGCTGAATCTAGTGGAGAAAAAGAACTCAAGTCCTAGATTTCCCTTCCCAGACAAATGAATGCACGCAGCTACAAACATGTAATTCTTTCCGTCACAACAGCATAAGCGTAATCTAAACTTGTAATTCATTAGAGATTAAGATATAACGAAAACTTCAAAATTTCAGCCAAAATATTCGAACTTTGCCTCAAAACATGTATATGCCAAGACTGAATTGGCATCAGAGAGCTGTACAAAAACAAAAACTGCACCTTTACGGCTCAAACATTCAAATCAAAATACAGTGGTGCACACAACATACATTATTTAATCTGAGCATAAAAGTAAAACTCCCCCAAATCGGAAAGTTTGCACACGAAACCAAAACCCAGATTATGAAAATTTCAATCTGTGCACCAATTTTGGGAATTTGAATCCCATAAATTTGATCCTAAATTTAATAGGGATTTTGCGCGAGAGAGAGAGAGAGAGTACCAACGCCGGCGATGAGGCAAGAAGCTGCGACGACAGGCTCCTGAGCGACGAACATCCTGAGCTTCTCCATCACTGCCATCTCTCGGGTGTCTGTGTTTTGGGGTTTTGTGCGAGTGAGGGATCCTGTCCGTCTTCTGAGCTACAACCTAGAAGCTTGAAAGCTGGAAGAAAATGGAAGCAGAAACGGATCTGCTTTGCAAACCTGACCCGGGTGAGGGGAGCGGATTCTTAGCGATTCGGGTTCAGTACTTAATTTAGGGCTCAAACTTGGGCTTCTTAAATTAACTTGGGTTCGATAACTTGATTTGGTTCCAACATGGAGACTCAACTCCTTCCGAGGGGTAATTATTATTTTTGCTCTACAGTTCAGTCCTGCTCCTAAGATGCTCACTTCGAACACCTGTAAAAACCAAATGCATATTATTTTTTGTCTTCCGCTTAACAAAGTTCGAAGCGTTCAGATTGCCTCCAAAGTTATAATACGAGTGAACCATAAGGTTGCGCGAGCTTTAATGTTGAACTTATTATAATATGAATAGATAGGGTTATAGGGTTACATGGTAATGTGACAATCACACGAACTACTTCTCCTCTCCAAAAATTCTTAGGTGCTCTGGAGTATCTAGTAGTTCAAGTGTTTTAACCGTTAAATATTGAGTTTTATATCTTTAAACAAAGATATAACGGTTAAAACATCAAAATACAAAGTAGTCCTCTATAGCACCGAAGAAAATCCCTCCTCTCTCTTGGATGGCAGACATAACTCTTCATTCAACAGGGACAGGACGGCAAAGTTCTCTCTTCAAAATTTATAGCTGAGACGCCATTGACTTCTGAGGCTACAGGATAAGTCTCCTAAACCATCATACCACCAAAGTCAAAAGTGCAAGGTCTTAATCGCAGCAAATGATCTAGTGGTAAGAATGATGATTGCGACTTTCCAATAAAACAAAGAAAATGTGAGAGGTTCGGGATAGATGCTTTAACCTGGTGATTGATTAACTGTAACCACGGGCACGGTAAAATTTCCCAAAACCTTTTCGGGACCGGAAGAGGTGGAAAACTGTAATTTACAACCAGTTGTCCCTTTTTTTAAGAAAAAAAAAAGTGCAAGGTCTTGAAAACAAAAGCAAAAAGAACCAAGACTTGTGATAATTTACAAACGTAAGGTGGAAGAGTAACCAAATAAAATTTATACAAAATCTCATCCCTCCTCGCAACATTTATACAAGTACATCGGGGTATATTTACATACGAAAACTACGTAAAACCTGGACGAAATACACAAAGAAAGAAACTAACCCAAAACACATATTCCCTTTTGAACAATCATTACAAGAGGTATGAAATGGTCACAACTCAGAACTACCACACAACCTAGAAATGGGGTAACATCCACCCCACAGTCCATCCCAGGAACAAGCCAGCACCAACGAGACCGAACCCCAACGCAAAAGCAACAGCATACGTTGCAATGTCGTGCCTGGGTTCGGCCATCCTTCCTCTTTTACCCTTGGCACCCTTACGCCAGTTCCTCCGCAGTTTCTTGCCTTTGGCTGGCATCCATGGAAGTCCCTCCGGGAAAACAGTGGCACTTGGAGGCTGTTCGTTGTTTTTAATCTGGAGGTAAAGACTTTCCAGTTGCAGCAATTGGAACCACTGCTTATAGGCAAAGAGTTGAGAGGCTTGTGTGAAGAAGAGCTTAAAGATGTGCTCCTTTTCGGCATAAGCTTGCTTTGCTGCCTTCTCGGCTTCCCTTGCTCGTGTTTGAGAATGGCAGAGTGCTTCCATTAGCTGAGCTTTTGTAGGCTCACCCTCAGAAAGTTGTTGTATCTCCGTGATGTCTCTGCAAGTAGAAATATAACTGATCTCAGACTGCTAGTCCCTTTTTTTTTTTTAAGATTGCGTACCAAGTGTTCTTAGAAATGAAATCTAAAAATCGGAATAATTCATAAATAACACGAGGACCTGGAATGTCTAATAACCACCTGAATGACTTGTCGGAGTGCCCTTCTCCAGACATTTCTCCCCTTCCAGAATCAGGATAGCCATGTGCAGGAGTAGTCATACTGGAAAGACTGGTTGCTTGGGCCTTCGCATCTAAAGATGTCCCCAATATCACATTCGGGTCAGAACATCCAATATCAGCATATGGATGTCTCTTATGATACGTTTTTTGAGGTGGGGGAAGGTCGCAGTTCTCCATATGGTTAAGCGACTTCTGAGCAACCAAGGAAGCCAATTCATCTCTGTCAGTTGTCCGCCACCATGGTTCAGCCCTCCCACCTCCAATCCAAGGATAGTCACAACAAAACTCCTTGGGTTGATTGGAAACTGGGCAATCAATGGTATCCATCCCCATTATTTCATATTTTTCCTTCATTTCGTATTGAAGAGGTTCCTGCATGTTCTTACTATATTTGGCGCTTACATCTTGCTTTTGGGCTTCGTAGCCTGTCTTCATACAAACAGCGGAGACTGCATCAGTGAATTCTGCTTTTTGCTGGTGGACCTCGCTAGTTTTGGGTGTTGATTTCACGAACCCAGCTCTCAGTGTTTCCATGTCAGCCTCCAATGCACTTAACTGTTCGTATGTAAAATCCTTTTGGTACCCATAGCTAGGTTGCATTTGCAGCCACCATCTTGTATCGGGGGGTAGACTAGAATATGAAGGATTCCGATTGATAGGCATGAAACCAGTGGCAGGATGATCTGGCCCTTCTGCTACAGTTGCAGGCCCAGCATCAACCTGCCTAGTTGTCGAAGACGAGGATTGGCAGCAAGCTAACTTGGGAGCTCTTTTAGCATCCTCTTGGACAAAACAACGATTAGCTGTTCTCTGCCACACAGCCCTTGCTTCTGCTGCCGCCATCAGCTTGCTATTCTTTTGTACATTTTACTTTGTAAAAGGCAAATACACTACACATTGCTAAAAAAAAATAAAAAATATATCAGAATTTTAATCCAACAGAAAGGGTCGTAGTATTTCACTACAGAAATCCCACTAAAGAAGCAACAAGAGAAAAACAAAACAATTATTTGTTCGAAGCATCCAAGATAGGTTCTAAAATTAAAATCAAGATAATGCAGGTTTAGCAAGCCAATAAAATAACTTTACTATGTTTATCATTACTTCCGACCATGTTTATCCTTACTTCAACATACTTGACAAGTTCACAGTTCATTTGGAGAATGACAACTTCTGGAAGCTGCTAAAAGTCCATGGTGCCAGTCGAAGTTCAGTAATGGGACACTGGATACCATGATTTTACACGCTAGAAGTAGCTGAAATCCTTCGTTACCCGACAAACTATAAGATACGCATCAAATTATAAAGCTTGCTATACTTTATATCATGATCAGGTGGTCAACCCAGCCACTTTGACTGGTGACAAATTCTTCCATAAAAAGGATCTTGATTCAAAACCCCGAATCTCCTTACAAGTCATACACAACCATGATCAATGCGGAAATTCCTAGATTCCAACTCCACAACCTACTTCCCTTTCTATCAAGCTCGCTGCGTGTGCGCTTGACTTTATAAGAAGCCCACTTGAGGAGAATCACAAACCCCAAACCCCAATCACCATCGTTCTTTTTCTTTAAAGCCAATGAGAAACAAATGTTACTCCTGATCACTAAAAAAGAAATACAAAACAGAAATTCAAACGAATCGAAACACCAACACAATCAGAAGAAGAACAGAAACCAATGGATAACATAACTAGCAATTGCACGATAATTCGAAATCACGAAACATTAGAAAGCTTTAAAAACATTGATACCAATTAAAGATGTTGAAAAACCATTACATCCACTGGATCAGTACAAACATAAAGAGGCTGAATATTCCTTCACCTGTCCTTAATCAGTTAATCCAACCCTTCTTTTATTTCTCTAAGATACCCAAATGCAGATGCCAAAGGGTTCTGAACGACCTTAATAACCCTTACACAGCCGGCAAATAACACTTACCATAATCCTGCCAAATTAAGCACCAAACCCCACTAACTTATAAAAAAATTCACAGACTTGGAATTAGCCAAGTTAGCGAGCGCAGTGTGCTCCGCCTCTACCCCCAAGTTCGAATCCCTTCCTCGAAGTTTAGCATATATAAAAAACAGAGATACTTAATAAAAAAAAATTAAACAAAATGAAAGACTCGGTTATGAAACAGAAAACCAGATTGATAATTTGACCACTATTAATTTATGAGCAAACCCAAATTATCAAACAAGATGAAAAACAAAACCCAACAAAAAAATCTCAAAAAAAAAACTTAAAAAAAAAAAAACTTAAAAACAAAAGCACCCACCTATTCAATTCCATCAAACAGAAAGAAGAAGAAAAACAGAGAAGCAGAACAAACCTCTAAGGTATTCGTTCAACGAAACGAACCGTTTTGTGGTTGTAAAGAGGGAAAATCAGGCAGGGAATCTAAGAGGAAGCGAGAAGAAGATGAGCCATGAGCCATGTCAGAGAAGAGCTTTTGCTTTCGGTTATCATTTTCCTACTTTTATTTTGTCGGTTTGCAGTTTTGCACAGCCACGCCACGCTTGCTCTCGACATCTACGACGCCGTTTTGGGAAGACCAGCATTGTTTTTGTCTTGTGGAGCCCATGTTTCATAATTTGGGATTGAATACTAATATCCACTCCAGGGTGAGGGTGGAGGATGGGTCCATCCATATATGACGTGGGATCGGATTTGGCTCACTTGACCATTTGGAGTGTTATTTTGTAGTGTTTTTGGAGGGAATATTGTCACGTGGCAAGGCAAAATGGTGAGGGCGGGGTGGTACCGTGGGAGAATTAAAGTGTCTAGTATTTAAGATACTCAACGGTTGTTAAATAAGTAGAAATTTAGCATCTAAAGTGGCCCCCATGATCAATTGAGAGAGTGACTCCATATTGGGGCATATGAGGTGGACCCCAAGTGTATAAGATCTAAGGTTTTAGTTTGAATTAGTCATCAAGCTCTGGATTTAGCCGGCTCTGATATGTAAAGCCGTGCTACCGTTTATGTGATGCTCTCATAGTTGATGTGGGTTGGATATACCGCACAACTTATAATCATCTATGACCGTGTTAGTGTCACGCATGATTAATGCTAGTATAATTTATGTAGAAAATTGTATATGATTCATTTTTACTTGAATCGAGTGATCATTAAGATAGCCATGAGTATTTAGTGTGTGCCCTTCCATTGTTTTGTGTGACTTGACGCATATCCAACTGATATAGAGCTGAATGTTCACATTTTGACATGTATCAAAGTCAGCTTATAATTACGCTTTAGCATATCTCACATCAAAGAATAAAAGTACAGTGCAAGTGTTAGAAGATTTTAGAGTTAATTTACCTATTATTGTTTTTTTAACAAATGAAATTATCTACACTAAAAAGTGAAAGAGTGGGCCAAACTTTACATTAGACTAAAGCCATAATAATGTGGTTAAAATTTGTATTTGGCCATAATCAAGTCTAAGACTTCTCACTTACAAATGAAAAAGAATATCACTAAACCGTAATACTAAACGACTTAATTTACCTATTATTAAAATTTGATACTCACGTTCTATTATTAGCATCACCACGCAATACAGATCATCAGGGTGCTCCCATTGATTTGTGGGCAAGCATGGACAACTTATAAGGCTAATTAATTTAAAAGTGTGTATCGTAAGTGCCTAATTGATGGGAACACCGAATAGAAGCATTCTTGTGGTAAAAGTTACCACCAAAAGCGGACTAGATTAAATTAATAGATTAGACATTAGAGAATTAGATTAGAGTAGACCGCAATCCTTTAACTTCTAATGGAATATTTATTTACTTTTTGACTTTTTTTGTACGTAATGTTAGAGAAATTAAACTTATAAACTAAATTAGTAAATCAAATGAGATTTCACTAATAAAAAATTAAACACCTTTATCAATGATTAAATAAGGAAAGTATTATTGACACTCTAAAAATTTCATACTACACTCCTCATAAGTGTAGTTTTCTTTCATAATATAAAAAATTTGAAGTATAAAATGAGATTTTTAAAGTACTAATAACAATTCCCTTAAATAATAATCCAATTATCATCTTCCATATTATTTTATTTACAAAATTTAATCTAGTTTTCATATCATTACTCTGTTGCATGGTCCGAAATGCCGATAATATCGGCGATATATCGCTGATATTATCGGTTTTTAGGGGAACCGATTTTTTTTTCAATATCCAAATGGTTTTAGGGATAATATCGCGATATTATCGAAATTTTCGATAATATCGGAACTGGCCTGCTCGGAAAAGAACGCCGGAGCTGTAGAAGCTCCGGGCGACTGTAAAACAGGACCCTAGACTCCGATCTAGGGGGTCCGAGACTTGTCGGAGGAGGAAGACGAGGAGGCGGAGCAGTTGACACGGACGACAACGTTTTCGACTTGGGGGACGAGGGAGTGGAAGCGGCGGGAAACGACGCAGCAACGGCCGAGGGCGGCGGTTGCTGCTGCGGCGGCGGATTTTGATTCCCGGTGGAAGCCATGGGAGGAGGAGCAGCAGATCTATAAATATTTGTGTGGGTTTTGTATGTGAATGAAAAAGATAGGATTTTGATTCCCTGACGGAATGGATTTTAGAGAGAGAGAGAGAGAGAGAGAGAGGCGATCGGGAATTTGGGATTTGCAGAGAGAGTGGGATTTGAAGAGTGACGAGCAGGGAGGAGAGAGAGAGAGAGACAGCGAAAAATAATTAAAAGTTGTGGGAATGAGGAAGGAGGGAGAACAGAGAAGAGAGAAGGGAGAAGGGAAAAGTTGTGTTGCGTCTGTGACTTGGCACCATCTGCAAAGAAGAAGAAAAAGAAGGGCTTTTGGATTGGTGCGTTGGCACCATCTGAAAAGAAGAAGAAAAAGAAGTGGTGCGTGGCACCATCTGAAAACAAGAAGAAAAAATGTTTGCCAAAAAAAACAAAAAATGAAGAAGAAGAAATAATAATAAATAAAAAAAGGTTTTGGAATGGTGTGCTGCATCATGTGAAAAGTGTAAAATATTGTACTAATTCATTATATATAAATAATTATGGTGTGTTTAAACTTCTTTCATTAATTACTACATATTTTCTACACTCACAATGTTTGTCAGCTCGCTATATAATCAACTTGATAATGTTAAATCCATCATGCAATGCATTTCCTTCCAATTTTTTGTGATAAACTAATAGATAATTGACTAAATAAACATCCTGCAAAGTTTCAATAAAAATTTCCAAGTTTTTCTTACAATTTCCGTGGTTTCCATGTAATTTTTATCGATATCGATATTATCCCGATATTTCCATCGATATTTCCGTGTTTTCAGACTATCGATATTTCCGATATTACCGATATTTAATACCTTGCTCTGTTGTATTTGTTTGCAATTTAAAGTCAGACTCTAGACCACAGAGAATATCGGAATTGTCATTCCTGACCTTGACATTTCCTTTTCCTTGCATTTTCAGTAAAAATCTTTCAACCACCCCGATCAAGAAATGGTAAAATTGATTGACGGGAGGTGCTATAAAGGCAACTTCCATCCAGTCGTAACTGTAACCGTTTAATACTACAATTTAATGATATTCTTCTTTACTTGTAAAAAAGATATTTTAAATTTGATTCTCTCCAAAGATACATTTAAACTACATTATTCTAGTCCATTATGAGACTTATCCCTATTTTCTCCCACCTTAGTATAGATAATATCATTTGTTCAAAAAAAAAAAAAAATTAACCATAACCGTGAATTTTAAATGAACAAATAATTACGGCTACCAGGTATTTAGTGCACAAATTTACTGTGCCTAACATTATTCTTCGATGAACTTATTACTGCTGCTAGAGCAAATCCAAATTTCAGTTTACTTTATAAAATTCTCCGCACCAATCATTACATACAATACAATAGCTATGAAGCAGTTTTCAGAATTATATATGCACATGAAATGGAAGTAAAATAAAAAATAATTTGTACAGTGAAATTTGGAACTCTTCCTGGTGCCTTAACTCGACAGAGATCCAGCAGAGCAGTGTGAAGAGATCGAAAACACTCGAAAAGGCCTTGATCGCCAAGATTCGACCATGCCATCCTTCCGACCAATGTTGCCCGATAAGATTGTTTTCTCCTCCATTTAGGCTCATAAGCAAAAAAAACCGAAAATATTTATATCCGGTTCTTTTCTATTCCCTTGGTCCTCCTGGTAGTCACCTTCGAGCTAGCGAGAGAGTTGAGCCTCATAATTCCCCTTGCGTGTAAGCGGTAGGGATCCAAAAACGTCCACAGCGTTGAGTATAGAATGCACTAGTCACAAGCAACACTGGAGGAATGTTGGGGAGTATCGCAAAGTTTGGTGCTTTCTGCAGTCATATTGTTCATGAATGATTTCCCATGAGTTCTAACATAACTTATAATCAACTTCATCACGTCTAACGCTGGTGATCTTTGAGCTGAACCAGCTTTACAGTGACGTCTCCACCACACGAAAGAAAACCATGTGAAACGAGTTTTATATCCGTGACACCAGCCTGTGGCATGAAATGTAGCGTCACCTTAGTATGGGTGGCCAACTGACACTCTATCTTACGACATAACAGAAATCACTTACCATGTCTAACTAAGTCACAACATTTATTGCATGAGCAAAGGATTTACCTGGACTACTCCACCAAACCCTCGAGTGCTTGGTTGCAAAAATGTTTGCCTTTCATGCCTCCATTGAATCATTTTGAATCATTGAGACAACATGAGGATGATGTAGCTCAGATTTAAACATCCAGATTTTCCATCACTTTGACATACTAACACACATTTGCTAGCCCTATCGCTATTAGTCGACAATCCCTCAGTCTGGCATTTACTCTGGTAAGCTGCAATTGCGAAAGGTCCATCGAGAGGCCAAGTTGCGGCGACCGTACTTTGTGGCAGCTCTGCTTTAAACTTACAAGCAATTTCCTAAAACCTGCCATTGCTTTTCCACAAAACCACCTAAAATAATTGCATCCCCTGAGCCCATCCATCTGATTGCCTCGACCTTTGTAGATTGTACAAGTATTGCATCCCCCACACCAAAACCACACAACCACAAGTTTAATTATGATACAAATATCAGACTAACTGGTAGCCGAGCACTGAAAATCAGCAACTACATAAATGGGTAGCTCCACTTTATTAACAAATAAACAAACAAACAAAAAATGAAAATTTTGAGATTTTGGAAGAGTACTCACAGTGGGGTTCGGAAAACGATGCCAAAGACCTTATTTTCGTCGTTGTTGGACATGGAAGCGACTTGGGCACCTGTCTTTTTGTGGCGGAGAAGCAAAACTTCCGACTTGCACTCTCCAATGAACTCCTCGGCGACCTTCTCGAACCCCAGCTTGTCCAAATCTTCATCTGTCAAGGTTAAGGAAGAGAGCACCTCACAACATCTGTACCTGTGAGTACCCACAAGAAAAAATGGATTAAATCGCAAAATTATCAACAAAAAAGAAGGGTAGCTTGGGGTTTGAGTTTCTTATATTATGTACCTCTGGTAGTGGTTGTGGTGGAGAGTGAGTTGGGGACATGCCGACGGTGGTTGAGGAGAGGGAGGCGAAATGGGTTTGAGAAAATGAGGGAAGGAAGCCGGTGTGACGGTGGAGCAAGAAGGGTGGCGGTGGGTTTCGTGATCGGACGGCGGGGACTGCTTTCAATGAGAGGAAAGACTTCTATTCCAAGATTGAGAGATGAGACGGCGGTGGCTGCCATGATGTTGGGTCACGGTGATGGAGATGGGGGAGAAGTCTGAGAGATAAGGTATTCCTCCCACCCCTGATTTCCTCCCCAATTTTGCAGCATCACCTACTCCCCATTCCCCTGTAACCTAACCACCAAATTTCATGCCAATTTCCTAAAAATCGGATTTTTCCACCATAATTGAACCATTCGATGAGAACCCTCTCAATTCTGCGCTTGTGGTGATGAAATTCAATCAAATTCTTTAAAAAAAATTGCTAATCACCCAAATTATAAGTCCAATCTAAAAGAGAAATTGCATCTGCAGGCATGAGAAAGAAGAGATTTTTGCCTTTTCGTCCTGATGCAGAGCGATCCGGATGTGGACTTCATCCATGGATTGCCAAAACACAAAAGCCCCCAAAGTCATAGAGAAGTAGGTTGCCACGCCCTTCACCATCCTCTTAGCCTTCTCGTTTTCTGCTTCCAAATCTCAAATCCAGGCGAGACCTGAAAATATATATGTCAGACCTCATAAGATATAAGCTGAAAAACAACATGTGTGAGGATTTCATGGTTTCTATCATCGTCACGTATGGCTACTAGAGGATGGAGGCTACGGTTTTGTTTCTGAAGAGGAAATACAGAGAAGCTGCAAGAAAGAGATAATCGGCGCTCTCTTTGGAAATAGAAACTTAAGTTTTTAGGCGCCGTGTCAAAATTTTGAAAATAAAAAGCTAAAAATAAAGGTGCCATGCCAAAATTTTGGCAACTCTTCAAAACACACGGTAAGGATTTAATCTCACATAAGTGAGATTAAATTCTATAGTTATTATTGTAGTAAAGTTTTTTAATTAATGTCGAAGTGTGAAAAATATAAGAAAAATATACAAACGCTCGTGATGACAATCTCTACAACTTTTGTGAAGAGGTCAGCTCCAAAATTCGCCAATATCATCTCATAAATTGTAGATTAAATTTTAGCCGTCGATTGTCGTTCACGATTACGCTCCATTCTTCTCACATAATTTTGTTTTTCAAATTTTCTTTTCAAAAAACATAATCTTCTAGTGAATTCATAAACATGAACGGTTCGGATCGTTGATATCATGTTCAGATTTTTACGGTTAGTGATATCAACGATCTGAACCGTAAACATACGAACGTGATATCAACGATCTGAACCGTTCATTGTTTGCATCTGCTAAAAGATCATGTTTTAAAAAAAAAAATCTGAAAAACAAAATTCTATGAGAAGAATAAAGCATAAATGACAATCGACGGTTAAATATAAATCAAGGGTTTATGGATTCTGGTGTCACATTTCGGATTTGACCCCTTCATGAAAGTTTTAAAGCTTGTTATTATGAGTGATCATATTTTTTTTTACATTTTTCACACTTCTACATTAATTATTATGAGCGTTTGCATTATTTTTTTTCCTCACATTTTTCATACTTGTAAATTAATTATTATGAATTTTTTCATGTGCTTTGGTATCTTAAAATTGCTTTGGAATTTTGTAATCTCACGTATGTGATATTAAGAATAAAATATTTATGAGTATGAGAGTAAAAAACTTTGCTAGATTAACTCTAAAATTGTTAGCCTAACAATCTTTTTGCTGTATTCAAGTTGATTTGAACAACATCCCATGTATAATTTATCCCACTTCTTATAATAGAATAAAAAATAAATAAAGTTTAAATAGATAATCATTTTTGACGGCATGTAGTTCCTCTCACAAATACACAATCAATTCTGACAACAACTAATAACCCTTGAAAATAAAGAAATTACTACTGACAACCACTTGTTTCCCTTAGAAATAAACAATTACTTCCGACAAGTTAAACACGCCCTTGAAAAAAAAATACAACTATTACCAACGAATAAAAGTTTCATCGTAAATAAATGTGGCGCCAAAAATTCCCTAAAAAAAAAATCTATTTCCGACAGCGATGGAACCCTTTTCCAAGGGCATTTTGAGTGTAGAAAATAATACGCCTCTTGTCAAACTATTTTCGAAGGAGCATAATTTTGGGTCGGAAATAATGATTTTTTCAAGGGTATTCGTAGGTCCTCGGAAAAAGTTGGTCACAAATGACCATTTTTTTTGTAGTGCTTGAGGACTTTCGGCCAAGAACAAAGCCAAGACAGTAGGGTAAAACTGTCTATAAAAGGAAAGAGACAACAAAGATAAGGACACTCATCCAATCAAACAAACAACATACAAACTTTGTTTTCAAGCCAGATTCGCACCCAAAAACGTTGAAACTCGTCCAGATTCAGTCCTTTTAATAATAGTTCCCTCCCTTAGAAAAACTATCTTTTGTTTAGTGTAAAATCTCTGCTACCTACCTTCCGTTAGTGTTGTAGTATCGATTCCCTCGTGTAAAACATGTTTACCATACATCCAATTTAGCTTACAACCTCTATAAACTCAAAGAAAAGTGGCTGCAAGAAGAGATTAGAGTTGGAATACTCTACCCCATAAGATCGTCATGATAGGGAGATGATGAGAGAGACAAGTCCTGAGAAAGAACAACTGATTCCCCTGTTTCCTTTGCTTGAGGAAAAAGAAGGATATGGGAAGAAGAAGTAAGAACATGGAACCAGTCAACCGGGAGAGGAAGAAATCCAAGGAACAAGTTTGCACGATCCTTTACTATTCTCACTAGATAGTAGGGGGCAGATCGGGCAAGATGGAAGTAAATATGGAATGACTCAACAAGTTGGAGAGTCCAGTGAAAAGGATGTGCCCAACTTTGGGCAAACATCCCCCTTATAGGCCACCATCATTGGCTAATAAGGGAGGGGAGTCTAGGTGGTAGCAGCCAGAGCCACATAATAAGGCTTTCTCGGGCAATAAGCATAACCTAAAGTGGGGACCTTCTTACACCCTACACAATAATGCAACTTAGGCCGAGCTGAGAATGATGGTGGTCCAAAATGTTCAACCATAAGCTCGCCTGCTGTTCAGGATCACCTACTAGAAACCCTACCCAGAGTATATTGATGAGTAGAATCCCTTTTCCCTTGAATTTCAAGATGCATGTGTTCCCAACTTTCAGTGGGGAAGACTACAATATGTCCTCTAGGGATCACATCTTCAAATTCTCCAACTACTGTGTGGCGTTTGAAGGCAACCCTAACTATAAGTTAAGGTTGTTTGGGAATTCATTAGTTGGCTTAGCATCTTAGTGGTATTCTCTGTTACCCCCCAATTTCATTGCCAACTAAGGGCAAATAGAGATGAAGCAGTTTTATAAGGTGGAGCCCGAGATGATTATCAATGATCTAGTGGAGGTGAAACAATATGAACATGAGTTGACTGAAGACTTCATGATGAGGTTTACGAGGACAAAGATGAGGTGCCAGTTCCTTATCAACCATGACCAACTTATATTTATTGCTTACAAAACCCTGAGATTGCATTAAGGAAAAAGTTCTATAATGTCTAATTCAGTGAGTTGCAGGAGTTGGTAATAGCTGCTACAAAGTACGAGAAGCTGTTAGCAGATGAGCAGCAAGTGAGACGCTAGTCTAAGGTGCCCCATTTCTACAAGAACAAAGCAGCAATTCACCAGTTGGAGTTCGAGGGCTCGGAGTCAGAAGAAAATGACAGCAATGAATGAGAGGGAATAGAGATGTGTGCAGCAGAAATGACCACTCCTTTCAAACCTTTAATGGTGAAAGGTTTGGTCAAGCCAGTTAAAGATAAAAAAAAAAAAGTAGTGATGAACGACGGAGGATTCGTGCCTATGAAACCCCCCAAGTACCATACTTATTTTTTGACCTAACTAAGGCATCAGATATATATGAGGAGTTGGTGTGGGAAAGAGTGATTGTGCCTGATATCACCAAAAAAGTGCCTAAACCAGAATACTTGAGAGGGAAGAAGTATTGCAAACTACACTACACCTTTAACCATTCCATAACCAACTGCATATAGTTTAGAGATTAGATTCAAGATCTCATTGTCAAGGGAAAGCTGTTGTTGGAGAAACCTTAGGAAAATATGATGATAGACACAGATCCCTTCCCAAATGCCCCAATAAACATGATCAACCTGAACTGGGTTGAAAAAAGAAAAGCAAAAGCTACCTGGGAAGTGAAGGGGGAAATAAGGCAGGCTGCCAGGCCTACGGAGGGAGTTAGAAAGTTACCCGACATACCCTAAGCAATGGTGATTAAGGGTGTGGTGTTATGTAGTAAATGCCAATGTGAAACCTATCCATAGATGCAGTTGCAAAACACAAAGTTTTACCTTTCATGGATAAGAATACTGGTTATAATCAAATAAAAATGGCTAAATAGGATATACATAAAACATCATTTAGATGCCTTGGTCATATATGAGCATATGAATACTTAGTCATGCCATTCGGGCTCAAAAATGCTGATTCAACCTGTCAGAGAGCAATGAATGCCATTTTTCATGATTTGATCGGGCATAGCATGGAGATGTAAATTGATGACATTGTGGTCAAGTCTAAAACTGAATAGCAACATTTAAAAGACTTCAGACATGCCTTAACTAGAATGAGGACCCATAAGTTAAAAATGAATCCAAAGAAACATGTTTTTGGAGTTAGATCAGGCAACTTTTTGGGATTCTTTGTTCATCAAAGAGGTGTGGAGGTAGACAAAAACAAGACTCATGCTATTATGGAATCACCTTCTCTCACCAATGAAGTGCCGTTGCAAAGGCTACGAGGGAAGATCAACTTCTTACGAAAATTTACTGCTAACTTGGCGGGCAAGATTTAGCCGTTGACTACTTTACCAAGACTGAAGAATCAAGAAGAGTTTGAATGAGGCCCACAACACCAAGAGGTGTTTAACAGCGTGAAAGCCTACCTAGCATCTCCACCAGTGCTCATGCCCTTTCAGAGAGGGAAACCTTTAAAGTTTTATATTTCTGCCTCTGAGAAGTCAATAATAAGCCTACTAGCTTAGAACAATGAAAGGGGAAAAGAACAAGCAATATATTACCTCAATAGAATCCTTACTAAGGTAGAAACAAGATACACCCCGGTTAAGAAGCTATGTTTGACTCTATACTTCACTACCTGCAAGTTAAGACATTACATGTTGCCTTGTCACATCCATATCATTGCCAAGACTGATGTGATTGTGAACACGAAATTTTCCTGAAACGAAAGAGACAAGAACGACGTGCACAAACAAATATTTGTATTTGATGATTTTGGTTTACAATCTCTCTCTATTTTGATCCTCTGATTCGATCTCCGTAAGGTTTTGATTTATGGATGTTTCGTTGATCCAAGGGCCGTCGAGGCTTGATCTTGGATGAACTGTTGGAAGTTTCTTCAAGGGGTCGTGGGCTTGATCTTTGAAGGTGGATTTGAGCGGATCTTCAAGGAGCTGTTGGGGCTTGATCTTGAGGATGAGTGTTTCTTCAAGGGCCGTTAAGGCTTGATCTTGAATAACGGTGATGAACGGATCTTCAAGGGCTTTTGGGCTTGATCTTGAAGAACGGTTATGAACAGATCTTCAAGGGCTTTTGGGTTTAATCTTGAAGAACGGTTGGATGTGTGGATTTGTCGACGTTGTTGATCCAAAAGGCCGTTGGGGCTTGATCTTGGATGAACGGATGATGAACGATGGTGCTTTCTTCAAGGGCCGTCGGGGCTTGATCTTGAATTGGTGGATGATTGATCCAAGGGCCGTCGGGGCTTGATCTTGGAAGAACGATGAACGAGGAACGAAGAACACTTTCTTCAAGGGCCGTCGGGGCTTGATCTTGAAAGAACGATGAACGAAGAACGAAGAACACTTTCTTCAAGGGCCGTCGGGGCTTGATCTTGAAAGAACGATGAACGAAGAACGAAGAACACTTTCTTCAAGGGCCGTCGGGGCTTGATCTTGAATTGGTGGATGATTGTTGATCCAAAGGGTCGTTTGGGCTTGATCTTAGGATGAACGATGAACGAAGAACGAAGAGAGCTTTCTTGATTCTTCGGGAACCTGGATGCTTGAGAGCTTCGGAGTTTCAGAGCTTCAAAGCTTCAAGAATTTTGCCTAATGATTTTGGTTCCCCCCAAATGAATGAAATTGGCTTCTATTTATAGAATTTTCCAAAGCCTAATTTTGAATATAATATTCCAGATGAAATAAGTCGTTTATGCCAGATGTTGACATGTGTCCTGTTTGACGACTTTTCCAACTTATTTCGATTTTTTGTTTAGACATACGCTACGTGTAAAATTTATGTAATACATGAGCGTTGAAACTTTGATTTATCGGTCAACATTTATTTACCGAAATTTCGATGTCTACAAATGCCCCCACTTCAAGGCGCGTCGTATACATGTGCTTGTCATGTGTAGGAGATGTGTTTTGAAGTCCCTTATTGTAGATGTCGATCCAAGGGCCGTTGGGGCTTGATCTTGAATTGGGCTGGAAATTTCTTCAAGGGCCGTTGAGGCTTGATCTTGAATTGGGCTTGAGATTTCTTCAAAGGCCGTTGAGGCTTGTTCTTGAACTTTTGTTTGAAATTTCTTCAAGGGCCGTTGAGGCTTGTTCTTGAACTTTTGTTTGAAATTTCTTCAAGGGTCGTCGAGGCTTGATCTTGAAGGTTGAAATTGGACCACAAGGAGCTTCATGTGGTAGATGATCTTTGGCTTTGGTAGTGGATGAATCGGCACGTATTTGTTTTTTTGCGCTTTGTTGACTTTCCACAGCTTTGATCTTGAACTAGGTTTTGATTCAAGGGTGGTAGACACTTGATCTTGAATCAGACTTGTGATTTCTTCAAGGGCCGTCGAGGCTTGATCTTGAATTTGGCCGGAAACTTCTTCAAGGGCCATTGAGGCTTGATTCTTGAAGGTTGACTCGAACACATGGCAAGTAGGCACGAGGTGAAGGTGACGACTTGTTGCTTTGTTCAATCTTTCTAATTCACACCTGAGCAGTTTGGTCAACGGTATGATCTTCAAGATTGATAGGCTCTTCTTCCAGTTGGTGACTTGATCTTTAAGGATTTGATTCAAGGGTGGTGAAACGGCACATGCAGCCCACCACGCCTAGCGAGTCGACCCAAGAATTTGAGGGTCAAAACGAGTTCACCGTCCAGAGTGATTGCAACCCTGATGATATGAGATACTTTTGATTTTGAAAAAGTAGCGAACGAATCAGCACGTGCTTGGTTGCACTTGTCTCCACATGCTTCAAGGTATCATTTTCGTTTCCTTTATCTGTTCCTCAGGCATATGTGGCATCTTCTCAAGTTCCTCATCTCAGACTCTTTTTGCTGAGTTGACTGTGCATACTGCATTATTCTCTGCTTGTTTCTTCTGCACGTTGTCTCCACATGCTGCAAGGTATCATTTTCACTTGCCTTATCTGTTCTTCAGGCAGATGTGGCAACTTCTTTGGAAGTACAGCAGCAGTGGGAGACGAGTACTCGAGAGCAGTGCTAGGTAGGCAATCAGGGAAGGGTTCCAAGCAGTCGATTCCTTACCCGAGTTTGAGTGGAGGTTCCGGCATATTGTTTTCTTTATCCTTGTCTTTGTAGGTAAGAACAAGGACAAAGGAAAGGACAGGGAAAAAGCATGATATGAGATACTCTTGCTTTCTACCCTGGTGATATGAGATACTTTTGCTTTAGTGTCATTTGTTTGCTGAGGTACCCCAAGGAATAAGCAACACTGTGTGACTCGAGAGGCTTCGTTGGGAAGACATTCTCGGAGATGAAGAAATGTTCTGTATGTTTGCCTTGCTATGAAGGGTGAAGGTGGACATTTATATAGATTAATAACCGGTACTGTTCTTTCACTCTTGTCGGCAACCGTTGGATGATTGAACAGTAAACTTCACGTGCTTTCTCCTTCACCGAAAATCTTCGATAAATTGCCCGTGATTTGCGTAAAGTTGAGTGTGCATATGACAGGTGTTGACGCGGCTGAAAAAGACTGGCGCCTCTTCGATATCTAGGATCGGCGCTTCGACAAATTACCCGTGACTTCCGCAAAGCTGAGTTTGCGTGTGATGGGTGCTGACAAGTCTGGAAAGGAAGATCGCCCGTGGTTTCCGAGCAAGCCCAGCTAGAAAGCTAGCACCTCTTCGATTTTTTGAATTGGCCTCTTTGAATTATGAGCTCGCCTCTTCGATCTCTGAAATCCCGTCGAGTTGATTTTTTATAGAGGCACATTGTTCGTTTCAAAGCACACTTGAATTTTCCCTTGTGAAAACTCCCTTCTTGCACTTCTAAGATCTTGATTTGTCCGATCTCTTCTTTCTTCAACACTTTGAAAATGTCTGGACCCTCCGACCGTCGTTTTGACTTGAATCTTGGTGAAGAGGCAGCCCTGTCTTCTCCAGATAACATATGGCGCCCATCCTTAATATCCCCTACTGGTCCTCTTACCGTTGGGGATTCGGTGATGAAGAATGATATGACCGCTGCGGTGGTGGCCCGAAACCTTGTCACTCCCAGAGATAACAGACTACTTTCCAAACGGTCTGATGAGTTGGCTGTTAAGGATTCTCTGGCTCTTAGTGTGTAGTGTGCAGGTTCTGTGTCTAATATGGCCCAACGCCTATTTGCTCGAACCCGTCAAGTTGAATCATTGGCGGCGGAAGTGATGAGTCTCAAACAGGAGATTAAATGGCTCAAGCAGGAGAATAAACAGTTGCATAAGCTTGCACATAGCTATGCGACAAACATGAAGAGGAAGATTAACCAGATGCAGGAATCTGATGGTCAGATTTTACTTGATCATCAGAGGTTTGTGGGTTTGTTCCAGCAGCATTTGCCTTCGTCTTCTGGGGCTGTACCGCGTAATGAAGCCTCAAATGATCAACCTTCGGTCCTCCTTCTCTTGGGGTTCCGTCGAGTACTGATGCGCCACCTGATCGTCCTTGAAGATCCCCTATTGTAAATTTGATTTGATTTGATTTTTTTTTAAAGGTATGTATAATGCAAATTTATGTAAAATTTCTAGAAAAATAAATAAAATGGACCTTCTATTTTCTTTCTATGTATTTTTTATTTTAATTTTTTTTAAATTTTATTATTTTATTATTATTATTATTTTTTAATTTTATTTATTTATTTAATTTAATTTTTTATTTTTTTCCTTTTTCTTTTGGTGCTGGATGCACCAAGTTCCATCATCATTTTTTTTTTTTTTACAATTTTTTTTTTCTTTCTGCACATAGTGCCCATGCACCACCTAGAAACTTTTGATCTGCCATGGGGCTGTTCCCCATCTTTGATCCACCGTCCCATTTTTTATTATTATTTTTTGTATAAATTTCGATGATGGGCTGGGGAATTTGCAGGGAAGGATGAAGACGAACTTAGAGCTGGAGCTTGAGGAAGAGCTTCTCGGCCGGCTAGTCGTTTGACAGCGGTCTTTGAAGTTGTTGGCAGCTGCGAGGCAAGAAACGGAGGAGGTGGAGGTGACCTTGATGTCGGATCTAGCTAGAACCCAGAGCACAGCCACTGAGCCCAACCATCGAGCACAGCCGCTGCACACTCGTTGTACTGCCACCGAGCACCGCCATTGCGCATCCGTTGCACTGCCAATTGATGCAAAGGATTATGTTTAACGGCGGAGACGTTGTCTTATTTGCCATGCTATGCTGACGTGTTTCACACAATTAATCATCCAGAATTGTTAAACATTCCATCTGGGGTTTATCACAAAACAGAAGAAAAAAAAATCCATCCATGCCAAACACCCAGAGGCGAAGCTACGTAGGAGCGAAGGGGGGTGTTCGCCCCTCCGCTCGCCGGAAAACAAAGGCAGGAGCGATGCTTGAACCCCCCTCGTTCGGCCGAAAACTGGGGAGCACCGGTGAGCACCGGGTTCTGAATTCTGAAACCAGAAACAAAGTAGCTCTCGGGGAAGATGATGGGAGGGATTTTTTTTTTAATTTTAAAATCCAGGCCAAAACGACGTCGTTTTGGGCCTGGTAAAAAAAAATTAAAATTTGTTGGTAAACGACGTCGTTTTGGTTGAATGAAGAAAAAAAAAATATAAACGGGGGACCACTGGTCCCCATCCCCATCATCTGAATCCCTATTTCAAATTAAAAACCTTCACCCTTTTCCCCATATCCCATCCCGTCAGACGTCATTCCCCCCCCCACCCCACCTTTTCCCCCATTTTCCCTCCCCCACACGACAAAACCTTCACTTTCCATAATTCCATTGGTTGTTGGCCTCCTCCAAGACCAGACATATCAGTCTGCAACTGCAAGCACTGTGCACTGTGCACAGCCACTCCAAATTCCAATTAAGGTAAAATTTTTAATTTATTTCAAACCCTAATTGATTATTGAATATAAAATTTTTGTTTAATTGATGTAGGATTATAGGGTTATATATTATATGGTTATTGATTATAGATTATTCATATGAATACTATGATTATTGATTTTTTTTTTGAAGTACATAAAAGAGGATTGATATATTATATATACATTAACATAATGAACCCCAATTCAAACTAACTAAAACCCTCATTCAAATGCATTGTTGGTACTTATTAATTACATTCGTAGTCTACATACTCTACTCTACTGTAGAATAAAAATTGATTATTCATATGATATGATTGTTGGTACTGATTAATTAAATTCGTAGTCTACTCTAGGACTAAGAGTCTAAAGATATATTTGTTTTTCTTTCGTTATACAGTTACGTAATGGAACGATATTATAAAAAACAGTGCTTAAATCCTTCTCCAAATATTCCGGATAGTCCTCCTCTTCCTTCAAATATTCCGGGTAGTCCTCCTCCTCCTTCGAGTATTCCGAGTAGTGCACAACAAAGTGAGATTACTGAGTTGGATGAAATATTAGCTAATCTTCCGGCAGACCCTGGACTGAGACGTCGAATGCTTGATTATCCACTCAATTGTCGTGAAGCAATTCGTAGATACTACCTTCAAAAGGAACCTTGTCAACCGAAGTCTCACATCATGCCAAGGAAAGCTAGCGACAATCGATGTTTTATTACAGGTTGGTTTGATAATTTTAAGTGGTTGGAGTATAGTATAGTAAAAGATGCTGCATTTTGCCGTTATTGCTATCTTTTTAAATGTGATTTTGATAAAGCGGGTGGTAGTGGAAGTGATGTCTTCACTACAAAAGGGTTTACAAATTGGAGGAAAGGACCCGAAAATTTTCGAGTCCACGAGGGAGGTGTTGGAAGTCTTCATAATAAAGCTATGCAACAAGCTAAAGACTTGATGACACAAAAACAACACATTGAAACATTTGTGATCAAGCAAACTGATGAAGCTCGCGTTAATTATCACACTTTACTGAGTGGAGCACTTGATTGCACAAGATGGTTGTTGCGACAAGGTTTGGCTTTTCGTGGGCACGATGAATCTTTGAAATCGAGCAATAGGGGTAATTACATAGAGCTTATGCAATTTCTTGCCGATCATAAATGAGAAAGTTAGAAAAGGTTGTGTTTGAGAATGCTCCCAAGAATCTCAAGTATACTTCTTCCGATATTCAAAAGGATCTTGTTCGTGCTTGTGCTATTGAAACTATTAATGCAATCACTAAAGATATGGAAGGTACATTTTTTTCTCTTTTGGTTGATGGATCACGTGATGCTTCCAATAAAGAGCAAATGGCGGTGGTATTGCGTTATGTGAATAAAAAAGGAGAAGCAATTGAAAAGTTTTTGGGTGTTCAACATGTCTCCTCTACAACTAGTAGCTCACTTGAAGAGGCTATTGAGAGATTGTTTGCTACAACAAATTTGAGTATGTCCAAGTTACGAGGACAAGGCTATGATGGAGCTAGTAATATGAGAGGTGAGTTAAATTGTCTTAAAGCAAAGATTTTGAACAAATATCCTCAAGCATTTTATATTCATTGTTTTGCACACCAACTCCAACTAGCTCTTGTATTTGTGGCAAAGGAAAATGAGGATGTTGCCAATTTCTTCATCAATGCTAATAGATTGGTGAATCTTATTGGATCTTCGTGCAAGCGTCGTGATGCATTGAGAGAGAAACAACAAGAACAAATTCAAAAAGCTCTTCATCTTGGTAATCTTGAAACGGGTAAAGGGTTAAATCAAGAAAGTAGCCTCATGCGTCCATGTGATACACGGTGGAACTCGCATTATGGTACTATAGTTAGTATTATTGTTATGTTTGAAGCCGTGGTGGAGGTGGTTGAATGGATTAAAAGCGATCGCAACCAAGATAATCTCGGTGAAGCTACTGGGTTATTCAAAGACATACAAACTTTTGATTTTGTGTTTCACCTTTTCTTGATGAGACTTATATTGGGAATTACAAATGAGTTATCACAAGCATTGCAAAAGAAAGATCAAGATATTGTGAATGCGATGGCCTTAGTGGAAGTATGCAAGTAAAGACTACAATCCTTAAGAGATGATGACTTTGGGGACTTGTTGCATGATGTAGAAAAGTTTTGTGATGAGCATGATATTGTCATTCCTAACATGGAGGATTTGCATTTCGTACCTGGAAAATCAAGGCGTAAAGCTCCAAAAATCACAAACTTCCATTACTATCGTGTAGACCTCTATTTTCAAGTCCTTGATATGCAACTAAAGGAATTGAATGATCGCTTCAATGAGGTAAACACCGAGTTGCTTCTTTGTATGGCATGTTTGAGTCCAGTGAATAATTTTGCATCTTTTGACAAAGAAAAAATTGTTCGTTTAGCCCAACTTTATCCTCAAGATTTTGATCGTATGGACCTCATGAATCTTCCAATTCAACTTGACAATTACATTCAAGATATGAAGATGCATAGTGAGTTTTCATCATTGAGAGGAATCAGTGATCTTGCAAAAGAGTTAGTGAAGACTGGGAGGTGTGAAAGTTATATGTTAGTGTATAAGCTTCTTACATTGGCTTTGGTGTTACCGGTTGCAACCGCTTCGGTGGAGAGAGCTTTTTCTGCTATGAAGATTGTGAAAACACCATTGCGTAATAAAATGGGAGATCAATGGTTGAGTGATAGCATGATTGTTTACATTGAGAGAGATGTATTTGCTTTTATTGATAATGAGCCTATTATGCGACGTTTTCATGACATGAAACCTCGTCGACAACAATTGTAATTTGTTTTTATTGATTAATTATGGAAGACATTATTATATACAAAGATTTAGTTGTTGCTATTTTTTTTAACTTTGCACTGTTTTAAATTCGCCCCTCCCCCCGAGAAATCCTGGCTTCGCCACTGCAAACACCAATCTGCCATCTTTTCAGGATTTGTCACGACATCATCAGCCAAAACCTGCTTGGTCCGCTCGCAGGTTGGGGGAGAGGAAGAGTTGGCGGAGCTGCTGTAACACTGGAAAACGGAGGACGTTGACGATTCCTTCAAGTTGTTCTTGACGTTGGTGCTGGAGAAACCTGCCTCTCTCATGACTCTGCTGACACTTGGGTCGTCAAGGATGAAGATGATGAGCTGCTCGAGCTCGACTTTGATGGTTAAGAGTGGCTGCTGCTGCTCGATGCAACCTCTTCTCTGATGGGCTTGGGCTCTCTTGAGGGCGGCGATGAGGGAGATTCCGTCGCCGTCCGATTTGCCGCGCCAACCAACATGGGTAGGGCTAGATACGATGTTGGTGTTCCCGGCGGGTTTGCAGTGGTGCACGTGGATGTTGTGGATGATGATGTTGGAGACATACTGGAGGGTTATGCATCCACCGCCGGTGACGTGGACGTTGACGCCGCGGCCGTCGATGGTCTTGAAGCTGTTGACAATGAGCTCGTATTTGAGCTTAATGGTCATGTCGGTCGAGAAGATGATCCAGAGGGGTTTGTTTTGGATGACAGCGTGGTGGAACGTGCCCGAAGTTGGGTTCGCTGGGTTGGAATCGGAGGAGTCGGTGACTATGTAGATCAGGCCCCCTTTGCCCCCCAAGGCGTCCATGCCGAACCCAATGCCGCAATCGGCGAGCCTTTGGTGGTTGTTGCTCCAGTCCTCGCAGCGCCAGCAGTCGTCAATTGGGTTACCGCTAAGGCACTTGCTTCTTGCGGGGTTTGAATTGGGGAAGGCTTTCTTGGAGGACCCAGGAGGCCTCTGCTTTGGTTGATGCACATCTTGGCTACTTCCCCTGCAGCCGCATGCAGCAGATCCCAGGTGGCTGGCGGCGACTGGGTGTTAGGGCTTCCACGGCTTGAGCCCTGTCCGCAACCGTAACCGCTCCCGACTGCGCAGAGAGTCGATTGGGGAGAACCAGAAGCGACCCAACCCTTTGGCTTTTCGAAGGCGAAAGGAGAGTCAGAGTATTTGAACTCGTCGTCGAGAGTGGAGCGAGCCATTTGGCGGGTCAACCCAACGAGGTAGTCTTCCTCGTCGCTCTCAGTCTCGCTCGACTCGACCGGCGAACTGAAATCCGACGAAACCCCAAAAGCACTGCCGTAAGGAAACTCAAACGGGAACAGAGCTTTCGGAGCATCAGTGTCAAACCCATACCCGCCACTTTTCTTGGTCTTTGAGTTGAGCTCCATGGCCGGTGCGTCGTCGTCGTTGAGAATCTGGGTCGGGAGCCAAAACGCAGCGTCTAACGTATCGTCCATCTGGGTAGTCAGGCACCCAGCAGATATCGAGAAGTAGTGGTTAGTGAGAGTGAGAGCTGCTGGGCTGCACTGCGGGCCGAGGAGAAATGAAGAAGAAGACAAGCTGGAGTTTGGGCCCGTTGTGGCTTGAGCCCTTTTGCTGCTGGGCCGAGACACTAATGAGGATGGGTTGCTGACGACGGCTCGGCTTTCAAGCTACGCATATACACACACACACACATATATATATATAATACTTGTGTATTCCTTTTTTTTTTTTTTTTTTTGTAAATACATAAACATATGTATTCATCATTTTTTTTAAAAATAAAATTGACTTTCTTTAATAAAACATTTATTTATATTTTGATGTGACTGAACTCGAAATTTTGAATATTCAAGCTGCCTACGTACCCTTCCAAAGAAGAGATCAAGTCGTAACGTAGTTCAAATACATACATATTTTTTTGGTATTTTCTTTTTGTGCCGTTTGCAGTTTTAACTCATGCAGGCAAGGAGTTTTGGTGTCGTTTGCAGTTTCAACTCGTGAAGACAAGGAGCATTTGGTGCCGTGTTGCAGTTTCAGCTCGTGCAGGCAAGGAGCATTGGTGTTGCCTTTTATGCTCGTGCAGACCAGGAGCTTGGGGCCATGCATTTTTAGGCTCATGCAGGCGAGGAGCCTTGTGTCCTATAGTTTAGGCTCGTGCGGACAAGGAGCTTCGGTTGGTGCAGTTTAGGCTCGTGCGAACAAGGAGCATTGGTTCGTGCAGTTTAGGCTCGTGCGAACAAGGAGCAGTTGTGGTTCGTCAAGCGATCCAGGAGAGTTGTTCCTTGTAATCTTCATAGCAAGGAGCCTTGACTGAGTAGTTGAAGAAGTCTTTAGGAAAGAAATCGTGCATTGTGATGGCAATAGACGATCTTTGTGTCGCAATTTCATCATTTTCAACACGTTCGCGTTGCTTTGAAGTTTGACAAGAGCTGTTTTGCCCCATTTCTGATTGGTGCACTTGTGGAGAAGACATATGCTTCTTGTGCAATTTCTTAAGAGTGACTTGAGTCCATCCTTCAACTTTGCTCGTCTTGGAAGATGCCCCCGGAGGTTGAGGTAAAAATTTTGAGTAGGAAGAGCCAGAAGTGATGGTAGTATAGTTTGACTTCACCACATCGTCAAGATCTAGCTCGATGATTCCTTTCTGGGCCAGCTTCATGATGAGATCTTTCAGCACGAAGCACTTTTCTGTCGGATGACTAATGAAGCGGTGGAATTTACAGTACCTTGGACTGTCGGTGCGATTAATCTCTTCTGGCCGTCTGCACTCAGGCAAGCCGATCACCTTCTTTTCCAGCAAGTCTTCTAACATGGCAACCACATCAGAGTCAGGGAATGGATAAGTTTTCTCCTCAAGCTCCTTTAAAGTGCATCTATGCATCTCTTGATCACGAAAAGCTTCAGCTTGAATCGCTTTGCCTCGTGTAGGGATTTTGACTGGAGCTGTGTTGACCGTCATTGCTTCCTTGGTGAATTTCCATGCCGCATTCTCCACCTTTGTCTCAAGAACTTTATCGTTCTTGTAGTCGGCGATCGGCTCATTCTTCCCATGATGGGCGATGCTTAACTCCATGTCATGGGTGCGGGTGGCTAGCTCTTCGAAGGTCCGTGGTTTGATGCCTTGAAGGATGTATTGCAAACCCCATTGCATGCCTTGGATGCACATCTCGATTGAAGAGGTTTCCGAGAGCCTGTCTTTACAGTCGAGGCTTAGAGTGCGCCATTTGTTAATGTAGTCAATGACTGGCTCGTCCTTCCACTGCTTTGTGCTCGTCAGTTCTAGCATGCTCACAGTGTGGCGGGTGCTGTAGAAGCGGTTGAGGAATTCCCGCTCCATTTGCTCCAAGCTGTTGATGGACTCAGGCTCTAGGTTTGTGTACCACTCAAAGATGTTTCCTTTCAGCGAGCGCACAAACTGCTTAGCGAGGTAGTCCCCTTCGGTACCTGCGTTGTTGCAAGTTTCAACAAAATGGGCAACATGCTGTTTCGGGTTTCCCTTTCCATCGAATTGCATGAACTTTAGCGGTTGATAACCCCTCGGCATCCTTAAGGTGTCGATCTTCTTTGAATACGGCTTCGAGTACAACCCGGAGGTATTTGAGCTCCCTTCGTACTGTGTCTTGATGGTGTTGGTGATCATCTCTTGCAGCTGCTGGATAGAAAGAGATCCCATGAGTGCCGCTGCTTGGTCTGGCTCCGGCTTCGCATCGATTCTCTCCACCGTAGGCTCATCTTCTAGTTTAGGGTTATCGCCGTCTTGTGGCTCCAGTCGGCTGACGAGTGCAGCCATTTGCAAGTCTTTTTCTTCCATAGTTCAGGTTAGCCTTGCGATTGCTTCATTCATTTAAGCCAGCTGCTCATCGATTGAAGTTGCTCCAATGGTCATGACTTGCATGGCTGAACTGCCGCTCGAATCGGCATCGGAGAGCATGGATTCGGAGTACTTCCTTGGGCTCTCCTCCCCTGGTGCCCTTAGTGAGGCTAAGGTGATTACAGGCTCGTACCTTGGGTGTTCTTGTTCCCTTGGCAGAGTAGATGCAGAGGTGAAGGAGGCGGCAGAAGTAGCTCTTGTCTTGCTTCGAGTTGTGATGCCCAAAGTGACACCACTTGTGATGAAGACGCTCTTGTTCTTTGCGCCGGTTGCGGGAACAGTTTGAGCCTTCCTTGATGCCATTACTTTTCGAAGTGTGCTTGAATTTCTTGAACGAAGAAAGAGATGAAAGGTAGAGATGGTCCCACTGGGCGTGCCAAATTTGTGAACACGAAATTTTCCTGAAACGAAAG